CAATGTGAACGAAAACATTAGGTTTAAGAATTAAAGTGGCTAAACACTTTCATAGATGAAGAGATTCTAACTGCCAAAAACATTTGAATATTCATATTGAACAGAAATTTGTTTTAAGATTTAATAACCCGTTCTGAGAATTTTTTTTTATCGTAACGACATTTGTTGTGCTGAATAAAACCATTATTATTATTATTATTATTATTATTATTATTATTATTATTATTATTATTACCATGATGTTTTTAGTGGCCCGTTGATTTGACTCCAAGATCGTACGAGTGGTTGTTATCGCCTTTTCTCGTATATAATCGTCGACTTACATCACGTTAGTCAATAACGGAATTAAATAAGTCAAATAACGAGAATCGACTTGAGAATACATATATTTTGTATATGAAGCGAATGAAACATAGCAAAGCAAAATGACACGTATGGAAGATGGCCGGGAAGCCAACTCCATTTTAGTCAAGCGTTACTCAATATTTATAGTCAGACAAAAATAAACTACAGACATGTGATTAATGGGATAAGAAGGGCACACACATATACGCTCATATAAAAACAGTGAAAATTGATAAGCGAATAATTAATAAGGTCAAACTATGACTCAAGTAGAATGAATAGATTGGCCTGTCCGAAACCTAGAATAAAGTATATGGGCTTAACACAATAACTGACACTACATGTTTATACAGCCAACGATGTAAATGAATTGATTTTCTAATTCATAATTGAAGAACTAACTCATTCTTATGCTAAGACTATTCCTAGTTTGGCTACTAAACCGAAGACAATTGAAGATCATGTCATATTTCTATAACACACTCCATGTAATGATAAGTGAATACACTCACGAAAAACAATCTTGGATTCCCCTTTAAATTATTTTCAAGATCACAGAAATTAAGATTTTGTCAATAAAAAAGAAAGGATTTAACTTATATAGATAAAATGCGAGATCAAAGCAATCATCGTTTAAGAATAAGATCATATTTATTATAATGTTGTGTTCATATAATCTTGACTATGCGAGATATCATAACCAATCATGTAGATTTCTTTATGTACTCTTGTGTGTGTGTGTGTATGTGTGCGTGCACATATATATGCAATCAACAAACGTATTAACATGATAACTTACTCCTTTTGAAGATACTTTTGTACAAATTCTTGTATTACACTTTATTTGAATTAAACTATTCGATTCTATTGAATATAGTTAATGATCTGACAATGATTAATTTTGTATAATAAATAGATGAGTTTAATTTTTAAGGATCATTTCAATTGTCAATTGTTATACATATCAAAGAAATTGTTTTAAATTAAAATTGTAATAAATTTTAATGCATTAAAATTAATTATTAAGTAAAGCATATTTTATTTGTAGATAGTTCTGTTAACAGATTTCCATAAGATGTGACACTTAGCAATTCCCTAGTCGTCATTTTAGAACACCTTAGTAATATGAACTAATAAGTTCACATGAGAGTGAACCAATCACCTTTTATTCATACAGTCAATATGATCAAATTTAGTCACTAAGTCAGATTTGAGGGATATAAAGGTTTATTTTCAAAAAGTCAGAAATATGTTATGTGGATGGTGTTAGAAAGCTTCACTGATCCTGACTTTCATGTTAGTTGATATTAGTCATTATGGTCTACCTGAAATCTTGAAGGAATTAATGTCCTCTGAGAATCTCTAACCTTTATCATTTAGCTTCATAGTCTGAGACATTATTACTAAGTTATTAGGTGAGCTGGTTAGTTGTAAGCTAACAATATATCACAATGCTCATCCAATATTCTCAGTAGGTAACTACTATCTCACTTCAAATTTGATTGACTTAAAGATGACGACTTTGAGCCTAGATAAATAGATGAATGTTTATTTCTTACAAATGAAATACTTGTCAACTGGCCCTTGGTATTTAATTATTCTTCAACAGATAACAGTTTTTATGAAGCAAATTGTCTTCGAAGTATTTATCTAAATGTGAATATATATATATATATATATATATATATGCACATTTAGTTTTTGATTGAGATCATGAACTGGTTGATGTTAGAACACCATTGAAAACTTGGATGGCTGTTTCGTCCTACAATGGGACCCCTCGGCAGTGCTCATCCTCGATCCCGCCCACGGGTTTCGAACCCATGACCTTGAGCATTGCGCGCGAAAGCTTAACCTCTAGACCAGTGAGTCGGCATCCAACGGCGTTAATGTCTAATCTCAACCAATCCACGGATGTGCACTGTTGAGAAGTCCCACAATAGGGTGAAATAACCATCTGGTGCTTCCAGGTTTTCAATGGTGGTCTAACATCAATCAGTTCATGATCTCAATCGAAAACTTAATATAATCCACAACCTCTATACACTGACTATGCATATTAGACAAATGATAATCCTAACTACAAGTTTAATTAAATTTCACACAACATATATCATTTCACTAAACCAGTTTTATACTCATTAGCATATTTAATAAATACTACTGTAACATTATCAAATAAGTAGTATATATACATAATAAATCCTACTCTCTATATACTTCATTTATCCATGTAATAAATTTAAGATTAATCGGTAAAATTATGTTATCTATGATGTTTGTTTGTTTTATGAATCCTTTCAACTATTTTAATTATTTTGAAAATTTTATTTCTTGTATTTATTCAATGTTTCTTATTATAATACATTGAACACTTTGATGATTATCTATTGACAAGGTGAAATTCATCAGAACTTATTTATCCAATGTATCATCATGACAATTTACGTTTATTTAAATATTCATCTCTTTATTGTTGCTGTTGTTGTTGTTGTTGGTGGTGGTGGTGGTGGTGTATCTTGATTGTTTTCTATCTTTTCTTAAGTTTAACAATTTCTTATTACATTTTTTTCTAAAAAAAAACACGAGATTTTCAGATAATTTGCTAACTAGATTTTGTTTAAATCATTGATTCAAATCTATTTATACTACTCTTAGTCCTATTTAAATAGATATACCTACTTCGGTTTAGGCACCCGGGCAGTATCACAGCCCTCACACAAATTAAATGAGATTTTTTGTGGCGCATATGTATCTGGTGCCCCCTTGTACCAGTATTCATGTGTTCAAATACATAAATAAAAATAAAATTTAAATAAAGTGATATATTTTCTACTCCTAAATGCCCTGGTACAGCCAAGAGTGGGGAGAGTCCGCTCCCCCTCTCGAAAAGTTCTCACATGGTCACGCTTATATAGCCTCTGCCAGGAAGTCCTACTCACTGCCTTCTCGTGGCGGGGGTGTTGTTTACGAAATTGAGAGGACGAAAAGTGAATGTCCGGTGCTTTAACCAAGTTGGTGGACGTGGAGAGTCCACGTAGAAGAGTTGGAAAACTCTGATTCCAAACCAATGTTACACATGAGCTACATGGTCCTGAGGGAACAAATGGCATATGAACCAACTGTTGGTCACTTGCTACCATGGGACTGCATCTCCTTACGATGCTCCACTGCCTTGTGGATCAGACCTTTAGGTCGAAGGCTCCAGGTGTGGCCCTCTAAGAAAACCACCTACTTCTGTTTGGGCACCCGAGGAATATCCCAGCACTCACACAAATCAAATGAAATTTGTGTGCCGCATATGTATTTGGTGCCTCCTTGTACCAATATCTATTTATTCAAATAATAAATAACAATAATATTGATTTTCTATTCACTTTCTAGATCTTAAGTGTTTATTTATACTTGATCTCTGTGGAATAGATGTTAAGCAAATATAAAAAGCTTTAATTCAAGGTTTATTTATGTACAGAAAACAATAGTATTTATAAGTTTATCCATGACCTTTGAATTGAGGAGACATTTTAATCTAATTAGTAAAGTAGTTTACCAACCAAATAGAGTTTGACACATTATTCGTTAATTTTCTAGAAGTTTTCATAGTGTATGCTAGTTGAATGGAATGTTCACACTCATTTCTGGTTTCTAATAATATCATCTAGAAATTTTCATGGAATTCCAATAAAATATTGTATGAAAACAAAATAACGAAGCGAACGTGCTATAGTCTGTATTTATCTTTTTATAATGTATAATTCAATAATTGATCCATTAAAATACAATGTGTTTGGATTAATCACAGACTGTTATCACTAAGGATTCACCAAGATTTTGTGGTATTTAATTAATAGAATAATCTAATAAAGCAGTGTTGAAATTGTATCGCTACTTATAACCAAGAAGATAAGATTAATCGTCAGTGATTTTCCTTATCTTCACCATCTCAGCTGAATAAACCGCCCCTCATATATTTTGGGTTACTTGACAACAAAAAAGGAGGAGTACTAACTCTTATTGATGTGGATTACTAAATGACTAAGCATTACTAGAATTAACAGATATCTATCAGTAAATTCACTTGCATTTCATCCTTCTCGTATTTGTTTCTTCAGATAATTGAAGAATTTTAATGAAAAACATCTTAATTGCATCACAGACTGTGTAAATTAAGATGTCAGAAGTTATTTCATTAAGTAAATACGTTCATAGTTTGGATTGCAAATTAATATTGACTAAAAAACCACTAAGAACCAGGTAGCACTGAACAGCTGTTTCATCCTAGTGTGGGACCTCTCGGCAGTGTTCATCGCCTACCATACTCGGTATTGAGCTCAAGACCTTCTGTCTCACAGTAAGCCCTCAACCAACTAGTTCAGTAGTTTAGAGATTGAGAGCTCGACGTTAGACCTGAAAACCTCGGATTTCATCTCTTGTTAGTGGTTGACATGTACTGCTGAGTAATCTTTTACTAGAACAAAACAGTTGTCTAGTACTTTCTAATTCTCAATAATTATCTAACTAAGATTAGTTCTTGATTAAAACTATGAACATTCACAAACTTATTATACTAATAAGTAAGTACTGTTTTCAATAAAAAAATAATAATATTAATATGCCTTAAAAATTTATCTTTGTGATCTTTTCTGTTTTACTAGGGAACCTAACAATCATGAAGCTGCAGCTTTTATTGTCGCATATTTCTCTATCTTAAGTGGATTACCTGTAAAATTAACTCGTAAAGCTGTTATGAAATGTAGAGAAAAATTAGATATTACTAATGAATATGACGTAAGCTAACATATTTATAGAATTTCATACATTTATGATGTAACATTTATATATACTAAACAGTACTGTAAAATTTGTGGTGTTTTAAATGTCTCTGTGAGATGGTACAGAAGATTTGTAGCTCAGGTGGATGATTTTGATGAAGTTTTGTTCTCTGTACTGGATGGTTTGGTTCATCCAGCTTAGAGAACAAAACTCCATCAAAATGTCTATGTATCTATTCTTGATTTGGAGCCATATAAAACATAATAAATCTATGAATTTATGTAAATTTCAAAGAAATTCAATAAAGACAGAGGTTAATAAAAAGCTAATTAATACTAAGTCATTACAAATGATTGTTTAATATTAATTAACCTAAAGTTACAAATGAAAACTGATTGAATGATTTATGTTGATTAGTTCAAGAATAAAATAAATTATCCAATAGGATTATTATCCCTGAATATGAAGTAGTACAAATCAAAATTGGGAATAGAAAAAATGTTTTAGTGATTTCTATCATCCTCTTCAATCATTGAATATACTGATGATCGATTAGTCAATTACTTATCCTTAGTAAATTATGGTATTAAACTAATACACTAGTGTTGTATAAATAGCATAACTTCCTAATTGTAATTTACAGATAACTCCCGTGGAAAAAGAAATAGTCCCATGAATAGAAATTATGATAATTAATCAATTGTCTTTAGTGAATCAATTTACAGTGAATATACAATATTCTTGATAATTTCTTATCGAACAAACGATGCTTTTTTTCAAAGATCACTTAAAAACTTGCTTGATACTAACTGTTTTTTTACGATTCTGTATGTGGGGTCTTGAACTTCAACCTTAAGTTCGATCACAATAACAAATTCTTAGTAGAAGATTTGGAGTATTGCAATAAAATAGTTAACTTTTCCAGTTTTTAATTTGTGAATACTTAAAAACAATATGCATCAGAAGGTTTTTAGCAATGATTAACTACTATTTATGTTCATCCGTAATTGTTTATGGCGAATCTTGTTACTATGGAATCTTTCCATAGGTGATTAATTGAATGTAAACATTCTATAGGAATCCTCTCTTGTTCCTTCAAACAACAAATAAAAAAGAGGAAAATAAATAAACCAGTGAGGTGATACTTCTTGAGTTTTTTTCAGTAATTAGATTCGCGATAGGTTGTAAATGTGTTGTGACGCCAAATAACTATATGTAGTTAGCAAACATACAGCTTTCAGGTGAAATATGATTAAAATTTGCTGAGAAACGTCAGTAAATATAATAATGTGCTATAAATCGAATGAGTGTTCAGTATTTGATGATGTCAATAATAACAAAGACGAATTTAGCTTGTAAGTAATTGTCAACATTGAGTTAATTCTCTCTAAAGATATACATATAGCAAAAGAGATTGATCAATTACAATCATTAATATCAACAGTAAGGTAACTCAAACACTTATAGATAATTTAACATGCGTTAAGCAAGTTTGTTGCAATCTGAACTTAGTTTCTCAGTAGATGATGAGTTGGCTTTCGAAGTGACAGAAAGTGAATTTGAATCAGATCATCACGAATACATGTACATCTATCTGACGAATTATAAATACGACAAAACGTCCTCCCTCGACTTCACTGCTAGACACTATACAACCTAACTTAAACCTGTGATTTAGTGGTATTTTAAGGCACTCACCCAGGATATACATCTTTCATTAGGAACGGATCAATTTCAGTCCTTATTAGTTAATAATATGGAAATACAAACCCGTAAAGTCACTAAGTTAATTGTATCCTAGAATCCTTGCTAAAATAAATTGTTTTTAAGGTAATTCTTCAGGTAATAATTTATCACTGACTTGCATAATGCGCAAGTGAATTGGAATCGTTATATTACTGAAATTTTACATACTATTGAGATTCCTTACTATCGGTTGTTTGAATATCCCCACTGATGTTTAGGACTGAAATTAATCAGTCTCTTTCTTGGTATATATGAATACTGCGAGAATTGCCTCGATATCCCTATTGAGTTATTAGCATTTTTAAGCAAGTTGTATTTGAGTTAGCACTGAAATCCATGACACGTGTTTCTTCCTATCAGTGACTTAACGGCTGTTTGAAACGGCCATGTAGTGCTCTCAGTTTTTCAACAGTTTTCTAACTTAGATTAATTCATAATTTCAATGAAGCTCAACAAACTTCGCAACCGTATACTAACAGATTTGTCTTACTTCCTTTTTATTAATAGCCTTTAATTGAATCAATGCAAAATTCGACTACAGCAAAAGAATTACGTAATGATTTATTCAAAGGTACATCTGGTTATACAGAAGATAGATTAATTGAAGATTTACGAAAAATTTATCAATTAGCTGAATTAGATCCACCAACATCATCAGAAATTTATTTAGAAACAAGACGTGAATCAACGACACAAAATTCATCTAATCCAATTTTGAAACGTTTATCCATTGATAAAAGTAAACAAGAATCAACTAATCAAACAAATATTAGTTCATCTAATCTACGTGATAAAACACCAGAACTAGTTGTCCATGAATATGATAATAACAATATTAAACAAGATCAACTGATGAATACTTCAATAAATTCTTCAATGATTACACCTCATCATTCAATTGATCATAATAATTCTGTATTAAATGATGCTAAACATGATCTACATCAAATTGACCAAATCAATAATAATACAATTCAAAATGGTACTAAACAAACTTCATATAATCATGATAAAGAGATTAAAACAAAATTACCAGATCCATTATATAATACCGATATGATTACTACCAATAAAATAAATTCTCAATCATTTATTAATAATCATGAAATTCATCATTCTAATAGTATGAATAAATTAAAAACTAATAAAGTAACAATTATTTATGCTCTATCACATGAATCTACAGAAGCTGATGCTGTGGAACAATATTTAAATAGTACTAGTGCAGATGAACGTGATAGATTACGTAAACGTGTAATAATTACACATGCTTATTCAAAAGTTGACAATTCTATGGATTATATATAGAAAATTGTTAATTCAATTAATCTATTGAACATTGAAAATAACAAACTACATAACATCATACGTAATTTTTCTTTTTAAAGAAGCGCTCTTTTTTTTCTTTCTTTTATAAACAAAAAAATCTATATATGATTAGTGTCGTTAATATTTATGATAGAAAATTTATCTTCATTTCTTGTTATGAACTAATTCAGTTTCTATATCTTTTCATATTTATTATTATTATTATCACTATGACGATTATGATTGACGACAAGTTTTTTTTTAAAAAAAGAAAAGAAACAAGTACTTTTATTGATCAATACAAATTTGTTTAAATCGTTCAAATGTTTTATGTTACATTTTTTAAAAAAAAGAAAACACAACGTCCATATTTGGAAAGTTTGTTTGTTTTTGTTAAAAATGATAATTAGTACCAAAAAAAATGTGAAATTATTTTTCAAAGTTAACACTATGGTTACTTTTTAAAAGAAAACCTTATGAATGACATGAATATTTATTAAGCATAGATTGATGTTTTCTTTTTTCTTTTTCTCTCTCATGAAATAGTATATTATAGTGACTTGTTTTAATTCATTTACTTTATCTCTATGATTACGTAAGTATAGTCATATTTCTTAAATAGGTATTAGATGTTAAAGAAATTTACAGAGTTATTTTATCTTATCATAACTATAACATTTAAGATATCTAGATTTGATTGATGAATAACAACTGGAAAGAGCTGGAAAGGATTGCTCAGGACAGGGTTAGATGGAGAATGTTGCTGAGCATCCTATGTTCCTTCACGAGGAGTAACAGGTGTAAGTAAGTAAGATTTGATTGTGTTAGATGATCGGTCGATGATTGGCAATAAGCAATGTGAATTGATGTTGTGCTATTTGATGTTTCAATAGTTGAAATCATGAGTTAATTGAAGCTAGACCATCATAGAAAACCTGATAGCACTGAATGGCCGTTTCGTCCTATTGTGGGACTTCTTAGCAGTGCGCATCCGCGATCCCAACCCCGCGAGATTCGAACCCAGGACCTATCGTTTTCGCGTGTTAGCGCTTAACTACTAGACTATTGAGCTGGCCGGCATCCAACGGTGTTAATTTCTAACTTCAACCAATCCATGGAATCGCGTCACCGTACACCATTGTCTTCAATGACTTGATATCCCCTTCTAATATTTGATATTTATCAATGTTATAGTTATATCTTCTTTTTACTATTCTTTGAATTTTGTTGATCAAATTGTAAAATGATCATTATTTTTGACGGATCGATATCATTTGAAATAGGTTTTTGTTAGTAGAATTCTATCCATATTGACGAACAGAAAAATGCGCAGTAATTTGCTTTTCATTAGTCATCAATTTACTCGATCATGTGAGCAGTCGATATTGGAATGATATATACTTTATTAACTTTAGAAATACATAAAAATTTCCGCAAAGTCAGAAAAACTATTTGGTGTCAGTATAGTGGTTTATAAAGATTAATGGATGTTATTGGTATTACCAAAGTTTGATATTCATTGAATAGTTATTTTATCATAATATAGGATTCATCAGAAGCGCTCCCCACGGCCTCACTGGGAATTGAACCCAGTTGCTCAACAAAGACACGAGATAGTCGTGAATTCATCGAAGTTACGTATTCTTATCTTCACATCACTGATTATTTATACATAAAACACGAGGAGTCACTACAATTCCTATGACGTGAAGTAAGAACACAAAAAACTTGCACAAGTAAACAGTTATTCACCCCGTAAACACCAAGATGATCATGGTCGAAAAATACACTCATTTATATATTGATTTGTCCACCCACCTAATTATTAATTAAGAGTTAGTCACATATATGAAATCACAACAAAATTTCATGTTGCATTACATGATGAACATAATTCACATTAATTTAATATAAAGATTATTGTATCTTCAATAAACACCAAACTCAAATAGCACACTGATATTAAAACAAATAATACACAGAGTAATCAATAAATTGAATTAATGACTTAAGTAATGTTGAACCAAAAGTCATATTGAGTTAAAAAATTGTTTTTTGCATTTTCAACCCGTCATATCAGATATATATATACTTTTGTGTACCGCTCCAGTAGTCTAAAGCTTAAGAGTTTACCGTAAGAGATCGAAGGCTTTGAGCTCGAGCCCCGGTAGGTGCGCACATCAGGGGAGTTCCATGTCAGTAAGAAATTGCTCCCCAATATCCTCCGTTTTTTCCAATGGATTTTTTAATTTAGTTCAATTTCCGAAATCGATAACATTCAATTATTTGGTGTTTTTGAAAGTCACATCTCCTATTTCTGAAAGTCTTCAGGAATAACCAAGAAATTATTTCGATAAAATGTTATTTTAACATGAGTCACGGTAAAATAACTAGGATAAAAAATAACTGTGAGATGTTTCGAGCCTCTTTATAAATATCAACATTGAGTTACAGGTAAATTCAGCCAAAATGTTCCAAATAGGACAAAACACACTGAACTCTACTGTAAGCTACTATCCAAACTCTTGACTAAATGACAGTATCAAGGCAATCTACGCAAGATGTATTTAAGCAAAAATTGGCTGATCAGTTACAGTTCTTAATACTAATCACGAGAAAATAAAAATCCTTACAAATGAAGTAAAACGTTTATATTTTTACATTTATACAATAATTAAGGGTTAAATTAAATTTTTAAATTAGGTTGGAAACGTCACTTCATCTAACTGAACACCGGATCGGTACCATACCTAGGACTAATCTTTTCTCATTGTATTCATTGTTTATTCTTGTATACTTTAACTAACTGATTTTCTGATAAATTTAATATCACTATTCCATTGAGTAATGATAATACAACCCTATAATAACAAGTCACAATGGGATGGATATCATGAAGTGAGAATTTGTTGTATATATTTAAGTGGTAAACTCAATCCAAACAATTCATTCCAGATAATGTTATATCGTTTTCAGTTGTAAAACAATGAACCACACATTGTTTTTTTTTAATGGTAAAGTGTTCTTTATAAGGCATGAAGGTAATCAATTTTATGTGCTAGTTATAACGTTAAAGATGTGCACGTCAGACTGGCCTTACAACTAACATAAAAAAGTATACCTTTTTACATGTCACTTAGTTTTCATTTTATTCTTATCATTAGCAAACATATTTTATTGGCTTAAGTAAGAATAATTAATGAAGCAGAATAACATGAATTGTTTATATTTCGCGGTTCCTTATCAGTTACTTACAACTTAAATATAAGTAGTATTAATCATTAAAAATCAGTGTACATACTTTATAACATAATTCATAACTCTTCTGATATTATGTCGAAAAGTATGTAGATTGATCTTTGAAGATTAAGTTGTAAGCAGCTGATGAGAAACCACGAAATACAAAGAATACATATTATCCCGCTTCAATAATTATTCTTGCTTTAGTAAAATTTATGAATGGGAAAAATTATATGAAATTTCAAATTCACATGGTATCGTTTACTTGGATCTTTCCATTGATATTTAGGACTGCAACTGATCAGCCTCTTATTGACGTATGTGCATACTGTGCATATTACCTTAATTCACATGCATTATAAACAAAGATGGATAGTGGCTAGCAGTGGAATCCAGGATGCGCGTTTCTTCCTATTTAAGACACGTTGGCTGGATATACTTGCATACCAGAGTTGATGTTCACTCCAGGGCTCGAAACCAGTACCGTTCGCTTCAAACGCCATCGCGTTATCCACTTATTGACCGAGTTCTGACAGCCACTCGCTTGTACGATGGGGTGTGAGTGGTTATCAGGATTCAATAGCTAGGTAGATATACGCGATGGCATTCGAAGCGAACGGTACTAGGTTCGAGTCCCAGAGTTGACATCCGCTCTGAGATGCAGGTACATCCAGCCAACAAGCCCTAAATAAGAAGAAACCTACGTGCTGGATCCCACTGCTAGCCACCATTCATCTTTGCTTATATGAAATTTTATTGTAACTCTATTTACTGTCGATAAACAGGGTTCTTTTGACAAACATATTTGCTCATAACGAATTTAGATTGTATGGTTTAAACAGCTATAACACAGTGTCATAATTCTTTCCATTTTCTATCTGCAATGCCACCTAATAAAATATGTATTAGTAGTCGTGGAGAATAAAATTTGATTATAAGTAAGAAGATAGAATTTGTGCAGATTGTTGAATATGCATAGTTTTTACCACGGACTGATCTTAACCAGACAATCATTAAAAACCAGGTAGCACTGAATAGTTAGTTCAATGTAAGCTATAGAAATTCTAATATCTTCACAAAATATTCCGTACTAATATCAATCATGTACTTACTAGTAAGACCGAATTCCTGGAGTTCTAGTGAGAAGCCATGACTAGTGGAGTTCAACCATTTCTAATGCAAGGCAGTTATTTTTCTCAAGATAATGAAAGATCATTTGGCAATATAGTAAACTGATTAACGCTAGACATTTACATCACTGTATTCCAAAACAGTAGTCTAAATTCTAAGCACTAACCCTAGAAACTGAAGGTTCTTTATTCGATCTCTTATGGGATCGTGAATAAGTACTGCTAGGGAGTCTTAAACGAGAACGATTGTTAAGTAATTGAATTGTTTTCTTATCTATATGAAACAAGAAATTTACTAGTTTACATATGAATAGTTTTCAATTGAACTCTCTACTTTTAGTATACTCTCAACTAAAAAAAGGTTAATAGATTTTATCTGTAAACCATCAATAATCATCTTACACTGTTTAAATTCATTTCTTATAGAGAGAGAAATGGTCATTTAAACAAAACCATATTTCACATTTCTCATTTGTTTCAATTCACATAAACTTTTTTATTGTATCAATGATAAAAATAGTGAAGAAAAAAAAGCACAAAGAGTAACATTTAAATCTTGTTACAATTGATTGGTTCATTGAATAAGGAATGTGTTAGTTACTAATCTGTGTTGTTAATAATATGAGTTGAATAAAATATAAAGTATATAGATCAATTATATAACATTTTTTCAAATATCGATGATTTATTTTCAGAATTGGGGGGGGGTGTATAGAGATTTTAGTCATTTAATAGTTGAGTTCATGAGTTAATTAAAGTTAGATCATAATGAAAAGCCTGAAAGTATTGGATGGTCATTTTGTCCTAGTATGAGACTCCTCAGTAGTATGTATCCATGATCTCGTCCATGGGATTCGAATTCAGGACTTATCGGTCTAACATGCGAATGCTTAACCTCTAAGTTGTCCAGTGTTTCCAGGTTATTCATTGTGGTCTAGTTTTAATTGACTCATGGATTCAACTATGAAATTATTAATTTAGCAAATAACTGATCATTAAAACAAATTTTCCTAAGGGAAATAATATAATGGGAAGTAATGAGGAGATTTAGTATATTTGATAACTGTTTTGCTTTGTGTATGTGGTAGATATTCATAAATTTTATCAACGTTGTTTGGTGAACAGATGAATAGAAATAAGTGTTTGAATCGATCATACAGATTGAATTTTGATCGATCTTTGTTAGTAGATGTGCATCTTGTATGAACTGTCTCGAAATAGCCATTACATACAAGCTATTTAGGACAGATGGATTATGGCTGTGAATTTCATTCTATTTAGGAATTCTTAACTGAATATACCTGAATCCACTTATTCATAATGATATGAAAATCATACACATTGGACAGGTTAGCAGTTATATGTACTCAATAAGTCAGTGGATACCATCAGAAACCAGGAATTACTATACAACTGTTTTTATGCCTTTTAATGCATGAAAGATAACGAAACTCGATAGTTGTTGGTTCAATCCTCTTAAGAGTAGCTAAGATAATTCTCTAGGGTCCCATGTCAAGACACAGCAGCTATTCAGTCATTTTTGTGTCAGTCAATTGTTTCTCTGTGCAAGAATCAATATCATATCAATTCATGTAAGGTTAATTCGTCCACGGTTAGCTATCAATTTCTAGGACGCTTAGAAGCGATGAAAAAATCTATAATATCAAATCACAAAATAGCCATTTATAACAGTTATTTATTTGACATAATCTGTCGATATATCTATTATTTAGTGACTAGAATACAGATGAGGACTATAGGAAGTAATTATAATTAGCACTGAATGCTTCATTAAAAAATGTTACGCAACTTAAAACAACGTCGTGTAACAACATTCCAAGTACTACTCAAATAAATGGAAACTTTCCTACATTCCCCACTTGATTATAGAGTCCTCTAAATATGAGTTCTTTTTATGGCGTTCACATC